CTAATGCCAAGGATAAGAAGATTGGGGTTATCATCTATTGCAATGCTGTTTATTATAGTTGGATGAACAGAAATGCTGTAAAACATGGGAAGGATCGGTGCTCTTCTACGTTTTTGGCTGGACTTATCTTGGAAGGGATCAATCAGGATTCTCCTTCTTACCACTTGGAGCAATGGGACACTTCTCAATCCTTTGGATTGTCTTCTCCTTCTTCTTGGTGTCCCCCCCCTACAGGTTGGTTGAAAGTGAATGTTGATGGTGCTTTATTAAAGTCTAATGCTGGTGGAGTGGGAATTGTGATTCGGGACAGCTTTGGGAAGCTACTGGTAGCGGCTGGATGGAGTATTTTCCATTGGGACAGTGGTCAAGTTGAGATGCTGGCCATTCAATACATTGGGAAGCTTGCTTTGGACTGGATGCTTGAGCATGAGGGGATCATTGTGGAGAGTGATAACGCTTCTGTTATTGATTTTATGCAGAATTTCAAAGCTAGAAGACTGTGGAAGCAAAAGTATGAAGATGCTGAAGATTGGAGCTGGTTGAGATCATTCCAGCACATTATTTTTGTGCATACCTACAGAAGGTTTAATATGGCGGCACACTACTGTGCACATAGAGCTATAGAAGACAATTTCCTTTGGGATATAGGAGATAGCAATATTTGTATTCCTCAAGAATTTTTAGATATTCTTGAGGATGATAGTAGTTCTTTTGTTTAGATTTGGGGTTCTTTACCCTTTTTAGTGTTGCTTGATGTAATTGCTTTATTTTGATGAATGCAAATGCAGAAGTTCAGCTCTCTTCTCTCTCCACCTCTCTCTCTCTCCCTCTCTCTATCACTCTCTCTCTCTTATTCCTCTTTCTCTCTCTCCTCTCTCTCTCCCTCGCCCTCTCTATCTCTTGCCCTCTCTCTGTCTCTCTCACTCACACACACACACACACACAATCTCTCTCTCCATCCCTCTCTTCCTTTCTCTCTTTCCTTTCTTCCTCTCCCTCTCTCGCTCCCATCTTTATTATTCCTCTTTCTCTCTCTCTCTCTCACTCCCTCTCTAGTATCTCTCTCTCTCCTCTCCTCTCTCTCTCTCTTGCTCGTTCTTGCTCTCTCTCTCTCTCTCTCTAGGGCACGGTTTGCAGTCGCTTTCCTCTTCGTCGCTCGGTGGGAATGGTGGGGGGTGACCAAAGGTCACCCCCATGTTACTCGTCGAGAAGCGGTAGTGTTAGGGAGTTAGGGGGAAGTAAGGGTGGTTCGGAGGTTCGAGCTGGTAGGCGAGATGGGGGTAAGTCGGTCGAGGGGATTGTTGGAGGGATCGGGGGTTCGAGATCTGGTGGAGGTGCTAGCAAGGACCGGCGGCTCTCGGCAGTGGGTTCCAGTGGTGCGGAGGTTGTGGGATCTGAGCGAAGACAGCAGGTCTACACTTGGTCACCGGTCAAGATTGGAGGGGGGAAGACGGATGGCTCGATGAGCTCATCCTAGAATGCAGGTCGGAAGGGGAAGACTATCGAGGTACTGAAGGATGCCTCTAGACCTCGGGGTGGTTCGGTGGAAGGATCTAAGAAGCTCAACCCGGAGGACTCGGGATCTCTGGGACTGGGGCGGGACTGCATGGCTGTCATTGCTAATAAGATGGAGGTGGATATGAAGCCTGAGAATATAGTTTGTGTTGAGAATGAGGAACCTATGATAATGAATATTCTGGGAGGCTGTGAGGTGGAGGCCTTCCTGCAAGAGGCTCTCGGCAGTGGGTTCCAGTGGCTCGGAGGTTGTGGGATCTGAGCGAAGACAGCAGGTCTACACTCGGTCACCGGTTAAGATTGGAGGGGGGAAGACGGATGGCTCGATGAGCTCATCCTCGAGTGCAGGTCGGAAGGGGAAGACTGTGGAGGTACTGAAGGATGCCTCTAGACCTCGGGGTGGTTCGGTGTAAAGATCTGAGAAGCTCAACCCAGAGGACTCGGGATCTCTAGGACTGGGGCAGGACTGCGAGGCTGTCATTGCTAATAAGATGGAGGTGGATATGAAGCCTGAGACTATAGTTTGTGTTGAGAATGAGGAACCTATGATAATGAATATTCTGGGAGGCTGTGAGGTGGAGGCCTTCCTGCAAGATCTTAAGGCTAATGTGGATGTTCTGGCCAAATCTTCAAGGCTGGATATGGGGACTCTTGAAGCTGCAGCTAGGGGAAAGGTCCAGTGGGGTACGTTACGGGATGACGGGCTAGACTCCTTGTCACCCAGGGTAAGCATGGATGTCAACTCCATGATGGATAATCCCATTTTTGAGAGCGACAAGCAGCCACCCTCTCTACAGTTCTTGGTGGGAGATAGGAAGATGGAGCTGGATGCGCCGCCATGTATCGGTTGTGATGTCGCCATGACAGTGGAAACGATTGACTATGGGCCCAAAGGGGGATCGATGGCCATGGTGCGGATAACAGGGATCCCATTACTACGAGCTCTGTCGCTGGGGGGTCCAGGCTGCGTCTGTGGGCGGGGTGAGTATTTCACAGGGCAGCACACAAAATGTTTGTGGAAATGCTCCTCCTGTTCAAACGGCTATGAAACAGGGAGGTGCTTGGTCGAGGTATACACCGAAGGTTGGAAGTGCTAACAGGGGCAATTCAAATGCCTGGAAGAAACCGGAGCCGGTTGCTCTCAGCCTTGATGGAGGTGGGCAAGATTTTCTGCTGGAGAACGGTGTGGTCCAGCTTGACTTATCAAGAGCCAGGGGTAATGTACAAAACTCCGGCGTGCCTTGGTTGGCAGCTTGCTGGGCAGACGGGTGCCATTCTGGGTTGTCCAGAATGAATTACAACGGAAGTGGGGACATTTCGGCTTAACACAGATTACCCCTATGGGGTCCGATTGCTTCCTGTGTTGGTTTGAGGATGTGGAAGCTAGGGACAGCGTTTTGATTGGCGGGCCTTGGTATGTGGCTGGGCAGATTATTGGGGTGGAAAAATGGACTGCGGGCCTTTCCCCGAAAACAGCGAGGAAGTTCACATTGCCGGTTTGGCTCAGGCTACCGAATCTTCCTCTTGAATATTGGGATGATGCGAATTTGGCGAGGTTGGCTTCTGGTGTGGGGGAACCCCTGTTTATGGATGAACAGACAAAACAATGGAATAGATGCGCTTTTGCACGTGTTTGTGTTCGCTTGGATTTATCAAAGAGCTTGTCGAAAGGTGTCTGGGCTCATGGATTGAATGGGAAATTTTTCCAACCAATCGAGTATGAAGGAATTCCGACGATCTGTCTCGGGTGCGGGATGGTTGGTCACAAGGCTGAGGTGTGTAGGGTGCAAAAGCCGGAGCCTAAGGTACTTAACCCGAGACCATACAGGTCTGATCTCGTGCACACGGGCTCTGAGAGGGCCAATTCCCTGGGCCAGGACGGAGCTGATTGTTCTTTCCACGGTCCTAGCTCTTCGGGGGATGGGACCACGAATTGCGGAGATGATTGTGGGGAATGGACCATTGTGACGAGAAGAAGAAGATCCCGACCGGCCAAGGCTGGAGAGAAACCAAACAATAGCGTCAAGGGGCAGGCATTGCCGATTGGAAAATCTGACAACAACTCTGTTTGGAGAGTGGCGGCCAAGGTACTGGATACGGTGGAGGCCCCTTCCGTGGGGACGGATGCAGGAGAATTGAACTCAGACAACCAATCTAATGAGGCTTCTGTGCTGGCTGTGGTCAACGGTAGTACACCGGGGGAGGGAATGATGGTTGAAATGTCGATGACCCCAAGTGAGGGGATTAGGCCTAATAGGGACTCTTTGAAAGACGGCAGGGTTATCCCTGAACTCAAGAAACAATTGCCTGATGAAGAATGGCTCTGCCCGTGGAACAATTGTTGGAAGTGAATAAGGTGGTGGAGGGTCAAGGCTTGGATTTGGAAAAGGAAGATCATGTGCTTCCTTCTTTTGATGCTCCAGCCAATTTGCATGATAGTAGACAGGAAGTGCATGTGCGGCGGAATTACTCCAAAGATTCTCTTGATGGGCCGGTGGTTCCTAGAGTGTTGAGGTTTTCAGATTCTAAGGCCAAGACTTGGAAACCTTACAATACTCTCGGCAGAAGGACCCGGATGATATTGGCTAAGGCGGAAGGGGAGACACTGGGGAACATCGGCTGTGGAACTCAGATAATGGGGGACCCCTCAGGCCGGCTGATTTGGAGGACTAGGAGGTATTGATATGCAATGAGGAAATTATAGATAACTTAGCTGGGTCCTAGGTGACTGAGGTGATCCTGGAACAACGATGCGGCGGGGACGCTTCCCCTTCAGTTGTCAATGTTTAACACCATCTGTTGGAACTGTCGTGGTGCTCGTAAGAAGGAGGTGGGCAATTACTTACGACACCTGATTGGGGCCCATGATGTTAGTGTTGTCGGTCTGGTTGAGACCAAGATTGAAGTTTTTTCCAGAACGGATGTCGATAGGATTGTTGGGAGGGATTGGGATTTCTGTTACCAACCTTCTGTGGGTAAGGCGTGCGGTATTCTTGTGTTGTGGAAGTGCTCGATGGGGTCATTCCAGGTCATCTTCAAATCAAAACAGTGCATTATGGGTAGATTTAGAAGCTCGTCTTCTTTTGACTGGGAGGTGGCTGTGGTTAACGCGGATAAAGATGCTCATATTCGGGCGATGGCCTTCAACGAGATCTCTCAGCACCATGTCTCCGACTCGCCTTTGATTGTTGGTGGGGACTTCAATTGTATTCTTGCTCAAGCGGACAAGAAGGGTGGGTGACCCTTCTCTTTCACGGCCGCTGCTAAGGGCATGAGTGATTTCATGGATGCTAATGAACTGATTGATCCAGGTTTCTCCAGTTCTGCTTTCACGTGGACTAACAACAAAGATGCTGGCAGTCGCATTTCCTCCCGCCTGGATAGGTTTTTGATTAGTTCCTCTATTTTGGATGCCTTTCAGGAGCTGAGGGTGAGCCACCTTTCGAGGATCGCCTCCGATCATTGTCCGATTCTTTGCACTGTCAGTTTGGGGCGACATAGGGCTCGATCATACTTGATCAAATTTGAGGACATTTGGACGAGTTTCCCCAGGGCGTGGCAGCTGGTATCCGAGAAGTGGCGGGTGCCAGACACTGGCTCTGAAGCCTCCAAATTAAATATTAAATGCCAACGCTCTCTGAAGACTCTATTCTTCTGGAGCAAAAATAAGTACAAGATGTTAAACAAGCTTCGGGATGTACTAGACAGGGAGATTTGTATGTTATAGGACATTGAGTGCTCACCGACTGGGCTTACTGTGGTGCAGGCTGAATCGCTGCGGTACAAAGTCCAATTACTTAACTCGACCCTCGGTCGGCTTTCGACATGGTGGAGGCAGCGTGCGAAGGTTAAATGGATTGAAGAAGGGGATGACAATACGCGTTTCTTCCACTCGATGGCTTCTGCTAGACGGCGTACCAACCTCATCGACTGGATGAGGTTGCCTGACGGCCAGATGGTATCTGAACAGGCGGATATCCTGCAGGCGGTGAAGGAGTTCTTTGACAACAAGTGGCGTGGGATGCCTATCTGTGAGGATGCGTGGCCTTCTTTTGAGGCCCAGAACACCACGTTAGCACCTGTTACTACTTTGCTGGACAAAGCCGTTACGGAGGAGGAAATTTGGAATGGGGTTCGGGATCTTGGTCAAAATCGGGCACCCGGAAGAGATGGTGTGACGGCCTCTTTTTTCAAATCTTTTTGGAGCATTGTCGGTAAGTAGGTTACGGCGGCCTGCTTGGAATTTTTTGCAACCGGGAGTATGGATCCCAACTGGAAGGAGACTGTGGTGGTGCTGATTCACCAACAACCCGGATCGTCCTTTTATGTACAGACCCATTAGCCTGTGTCAGACCATCTACAAAATTGTGGCGAAGGTGCTTGTGAATCGGATGCAAGGTTTTCTGCCCAACCCGATTTCCGGGGAAAAAGCTGCTTTTGTCCCGGGGCGGTCAATTTCCGACCATTGCTTGCTCGGGCAGGAGGTGCTGAACAAATTCAAGATCTCCAAATCTAACCATGGGTGGATGGCTGTCAAGGTCGATATGGAACAAGCTTATGACAAGATGAGCTGGAGAACTCTTGAGTGTGTGCTGTCTCGTATGGGATTCCCTCTTAAATTTTGCTCTTGGATTATGAGTTGCATTTGCTCCCCCCGTTTTTCTATTATGATTAATGGGCAGCTCACGGAGCCTGTTACGGCGGAGTGTGGGTTTCGTCAGGGATGTCCGCTCTCCCCCTATCTGTTTATTCTTTGCTCGGAGCTCCTGTCACTTCAATTCCACCAACGGTGCCCGGAGCTGGGCATTCAACTCAAGGCGGGTGGACCTATGGTCTCCCACCTCCTTTATGCTGACGATGTTTTATGTTTTGGAGGTGCTTCCATACCTAATGTGAAGAAAATCATTTTGATTATGGAGAACTTTTGTGCATGGACTGGGCAGCGGGTCAATCGAAGCAAATCAGCAATTATGTTCAGCAAGGTCACCTCGTCGTCGACCAAACACCGGCTGGCTAGGCTTGCTGGCTGTCGTAAGGTTGAGGAGATGGACTATCTGGGAATCAAGCTCACACTTCGAGGATTGAAAAAAGCGGATTTCAGCCCGCTACTGTAGAAATCCAGTGCTTTGACTCTTGCCTGGGGAGTGAGACATCTTTCATTAGCCGGTAGAGTTACTATGGTTAACTCTGTCCTAATTCCTCTCTCGGTTTATGCGGTCTCGCATATGATGGTTCCGAGAGGGGTTCTCGACGAGATGGAGAAGATATGCCGTGGCTTTCTGTGGAATAAGGATCATAACCATAAGAGCTTACACTATGCCAGCTGGGCGACGCTAACCAAGCCGTGGCGATTTGGGGGGTTTGGGTTCCATGCCAGTGGACAATGGACTGGCCCCTTACGTGCTCGAATTGCATGGAACTTTTTTAGTAAGCCGCATAGCTTACTTAATCGGTGCTTGAGACACAAGTATGGTGATTGGCCTTGATCCCAGGGCCAGCGTCGTGACGACTCTGCTGCTTGGAGGTTGATCTACTGCGGGGCGAATAGTTTAGCCAATTGTATCCGGTGGCGGGTTGGTAATGGTGCTGATATTGATGTGCTCAATCACGTTTGGTTTTACGACTTGGCCATTGCTCGTTGGCCTACTTTCTGTAATGTGGAGCTTGCGGAAGACCTGGTGGTGGGGGAGCTACTCACAGCCGACAGTAGATGGGATAGAACCAATCTGATGCAAGTTTTCGGGGCCATCTTGGTGGATGTCATCTGTGACATTACAATTCGGCCGGGTTCCCCTGATGATTCACTGGAATTGATCAAATGCTATATGTTACACGTCTCTGTTCCAAGAGGAGGAGGACCCGGTGTATCCGATCCTCAAAATTGGCCTCCAGCCCCGCGAACGAATTTTTTGGTGGAGGGCTTATAAGGATCTGCTACCTACCTGCTCCTGGCTGCACTGAAGAGGACTAGGGACGGATCTACTC